GAAGTCAGTCACGATCATCACCTTCAGCCAAACGCCCCATCTGTCCCGTGGCACCAATAACAGGAGCCCAGCTCCTCCAGCCTCCAGCGTTGAGAACAGACGCCCTTGGCCACCGGGCGCTGGAGGCCATGGCGTGTGAAATGTGCCCGGCGGGGAAGGAAGGGGGCTTGGCATTTGTAATGTCCTTCTGCCCGGCAGTCTCAGGGCTAAAGGGATTTAAATCTTATAGAGGACGGGGAGATTCCTGTATGTAAAAGGTCGGCTGGTGCTTCTGAGAAGCCGGGGCTCAGGGACTCGGGTCCCAGCCAACCCAGGGTTAGAGAACACAAGCTGCAGGTGAATCCATGCTTCCTAAATGGAGGCCACCTGCAAAGCCAGCTCCAGCACCGGAGGGGCGGGCTCTGCAAGGCCTCAGCAGCGGCGTCACTCAGCGCATCTAAACCATTCCTGAACTTCCCTGTTTCAGCTACAGTGCACACTCAATGTTAGTTTCAGGTGTACAGCACAGTAGTTAGACATTTATGTGATTTACAAAATGACCCCCCAATAATTCAAGTACCCACCTGGCACCATACATAGTTATTGCAATATTATTGATTATATTCCCCATACTGTGCTTTATATCCTGTGACTATTCTGTAACTACCAATTTGTACTTCTAATCCCTTCACCTTTTTCACCCAGCCTCCCACCCTCTCCCATCTGGCAACTTCCTACACATTCTTCTTTGTGAAGAAAGTACCCCAACGCTCAGGACACTGGGACGCGTCTGGGGTTTATCAAATGGCAGCTGACGGGATGTCAGGTGATGAATTCACTTGGCATGCAGTTGCCTATTTGTCTGATTTGGATTTCAACTTCCCCAAGAAAATTACTCCGATTTCTGCTGTGCCAAGGCACCTGTTTATTCAAACAGCCGTGTGCTCCTGCCTGCCAGGTTTCACAGAACAGGCTGGAGCTGCTGGGGCTCCTTCCCAGAGGCAGGAATGACAGGAAGCAGTCTGCCAGCCTCTCCCTGGGAGCCCATTCAACTGTCTCCTCCACGAAGGAGAACAAAAGGACAAGGTTGCAGTAATCCTCGAGGGCCAGTGAAATATTAGGGCAGCTCAGACCAGTCGCTGCTTAGAAGGCAGGCGCATGCTGGTAGGTGGGAGGGCGAGGAGAGGAAAAGAAAAAGAACGCAGCATTCTTGCGGATCAAGTGCTCAGATTATTTTTGCTGCTGAGACCTCTTATGACAAAGATATATGCAGCTAAGCGTTGCCTTTTTAGGTCACTCAAAGCCCATTTCTGAAGATCAGCCCAAGCTACACAATTACATGGATGATGTTTAATTGAACTTTTTTTAGGCTTGCTCCTGTATCCTCATAAAACACCATCACTGACAAACAATGTGAAGAATGTCATTATCTAAATGAAAAACAAAACCTTCGGGTTTTCCGTGTTAAAAAAAATAGATTAGATGATAAATCTGTCTGAACACTGAGATAATTAGATTTCGTCTTAGTACCTTTACCGTATCATGTTCTGTAACTGCCACAATAGTAACAACAATTTCATTTTCCTACTGACTTGAGCATTGCAGGTGGAGCGATGCCTGGTGACAGCACGCATCCTCCGATGGACAATTTCAGCGACATCCCATTGGTCCCTTTGCCTCTATAATGACCTGGTCTAGCAGCCTGGCACCAGAAATCACCTAAAAGGTGAAAAATGGGCCAATCTTCAGGCCGTCTTCAGTGAATCAGTGTAACGAGCCCTCCACTGCATGCAAAGATGAGAATTCTAATGTGTTCGTAAGTGGCCTCTGGATGGTGCATTTCCAGCATCTCAGGTTACTGGTGTTGCTGCAGTGATACAGTCAGAACATTAGATGTGTTACTTATCCACGTCCACTATTATGAGGGTTTGTGACTCAGCCTTCATATCAGGTTTAAAAATACATTCATATGCTGCGGATAAAAACAGCATTGATGGAGGACCCCATAATAGGAATTAGGAGGCACTGCCATCCATAAGGGTAATGTAGAAGGCTTGTAAAAACTGAGATGTCTTAGCTTATTATCAAGAGAATCCTTTCATGAAAACGAAATGCATTTGAAATGATGATCTGTTAGCAACAGGACCTACCAAATGGGAAGGAAAAAAAATGACCAAACTCATATACTGGAGTGTAGAGCAGATAATGATGTAGAGAATTTCAGGTTGCCATGGAGACGTTCTCTGGCTCATTGGCTATGTTGCTGCCATCAGAAGCCACCACTCTCTTCTAAGCTCAAAATGAATTCAGTGCTATTCAAGGGGAATTCATTTTCCTTCTCCCATGTGCCTAAAACTGCAGGGTGGGAAAGATCAAAGAGGCCACAGCGTCGTCCCTGCTGAAAGGTACCAGCTGCCGAGTTGTGTGAATGCGATGACTGTAGCCCAGGGTAGCTCAGAAGATAACTGAATGCACAGAAGTGTAATGCCTCAGATTAGGAAAGAAAGACGCGAGAATGGACCAAAGTAACCAAGAAGGCCTCGTGGCAGTAAAATCTGAGGGATGGGTGATATTTGGCTCGTCGTAGGACTCAGTGAAGGAGCAGAGAAGGGAATATTCCAGACAGGAGAAAAAGTGGGAGCAGAGCTGCTAAGACAGGGACAACATGGTAACAAGACAGTGAGGAGGCGACCCCTGTGGTTGGAGGCCTTGGTGAGTGAGTGACAGGTGGGTGAGATTACCGGAGGCCTGAACTGAGATGTCCTGGGCACTGGAGAATGGCTTTAGGTCTGTGACAGGCTGGTGAGGTAAGGAAAGCCATATTGTACAAATATTGATCAGGACTGAAGTCCGGGATAGACTGGAGGGGAGTGAAACTGTAACCCAAGGGAGGTGCTGGGAGCCTAGATTTCTGTGGTGGATGTTTCCTTGAGAAAAGAAAGGGGAATTTATTTATAAGAAAGCATCCATGGCATTTCATAACAGGGGAGAAATTGATGGAAATACTTGGACTCCTCTTCTGAACAAGGGGGCTCTGGGACCACATCTGAAGCTCAGGAGTCTGACCTGGGTTTGGGCTAGCAGTGGAGTTTGGTCTTCGTCTTCGCCACATGAAACAAAGGGAAAACCAAACAAGAATGCAGAGGATTTTTTTGGTCAGTGAAACTGCTCTGTAGGATACTAGAATGGTGGATAAATGTCATTAAACATTTGTCAAAACCCATAGAATATACAACATCAAGAGTGAACACTAGAGTGCACTAAGGGCTTTGGGTGATAATGATACAGGTTCATTGATTGTAATGAATGCACCACTCCTGTGGGGGATGCTGATAGTGAAGGGATGCTGACAGTGGGTGTGTGAGGCAGGAGATGCATGGGAACCCTTTGTGCTTTCTCCTTCCTGTCAACCTAAACTCGCTCTAAAAAAATAAAGTCAGTTCATTAAAAACCAACAACAAAAATCATGTAAATCGCCAGAATTGGAATCAAAGACCTAACAGACAGCCAACATGTATTCAGAGGTCAATATGGGGACAAAGAACTTTGGAAAACAACCATGTAAAGGCCACTAAAGCCATTCAAACGGAAGAAGTATGGACATCTAGGAAGGGGACTGGAGAAACCAGAGTCCGTAGGACCAGGGCCTGCAATGAAGGAACCTGCAGGCCAGTGGAGACCCGCCAAGATGAATGGGAGTTTGCAGGCCTGAGTGACAGGAGGAATGGCAAAGGGAAGATGAGCCAAAACAGACGTTTTATTAATGCATTAAGGAAACCCTGCAACTGTGTTCCTCATTTCTTTGTCGAAGTTGAATATTTCTAGCGTGATACCACAGTCCTGACAATATTTTATGCTTCAATGATTTGTGACCTATGACCAGTTTGTTTCTTTGATTGATTGGTTGATTAAAACCATTAAAATGAGCATAATCGTTTTGGATTGCAGTGGTATCGGCAATATGATATTCATGGTTTTTCTAAGCATTTTGACCTTTTCAGATAAAAGGTCACCTAATATCTGACCACCTAATATTGCAGTGGGAAAAGAGACCCATTAGAATCTGAAAAAGACAGTTCAGAATAAGCATGTAACAATAGGTTAAACAGTCCATGGTTCATATCACTACCTACGTCTTATCGATTTCAGGGAGTCCTGGCTTATATTGGGTATCCATGAGTAAGTCAAGTTTATTGACTACATAAAGACCTATAATACCACAAAAAAAGTTTAAGCTGATATCACCTAAAGTATACAGATGTGTAAAAACTATCAGACTAAGCATTTAAAGGTGCAGTGTGATGAGTACCTCAGAGTAACTTGAAGTTACACGCACACTCGGATCATCTCCCGGCAGAAGCAGTGCTGGCCGGGGTGTTGCTTTAATAATGCACGGCTGCTGCTCATATTGACCAGCCAGCTAATCAGAGCTGTAGAGAACCAGGCCACGACTGCGTTGTTACAAGGTAGACATCGTTTTACAGTTAATTTCCTTATGCCTGGAATGGAATCATACAGCATTACCTCTTTTCATTTCCCACTGCCAAGCTTTAAAATAATTACATATGGGTACATATAACTCTACCTTTTATACCTGTAAATGACACAGATTTTCATAAGGCTACATATATATACTCACCCATGCAATTATTATGAGGTATATTTTGCAATCTTTACATTAAAAAGCTATTGTTTCGTGTAAATATCACAAAGTAAGTTTTTTACTTGTTTTCTTAACCATGCAATAAAAAATCTGATTCAAATCAGGCACTGGGGAGCCATGTTAAAACCACTGCAAATGTAGATGATCGGCATATACTGTGTTTTGAATTGCTAACTTAAGCAAAATATAATCGTGGTACTTTACATACGGGCAGTGATTTGGAAATGTGAAAAGTACCTGCTTCCCTATTAAGCAGAGTTTTGAAATTGTGATTTAAGTTTGAGCAAAAGGAAGGAATATTTTCAGGAGACCTTACTCTTCCACAATAGTGACATTTGGCATCATCCTCTCCTTGTAGGCCGCGCAGTGCAGATTATTTTATGCAAGAAGCTAAGCGGATGAAGCATAAGGCAGATGCAATGGTAAGTTCCTTTTCTCTCCAGATAAGTTTTTCCAAATGATGTTTGTACTGCACCTTCATCACTGGGGCAGTGTAGCTGGGGTAATTATAAAATCTATTACAAGGATGGCTGAGTCCGTTAAATGGAGAAATGTTTATATAATCAAGCACTCATCACCCAATAAAGTATGACTTCAACCAATAATGCCTGACAGGGAGAAAGCCCTGGAGAAATGAATATTTTATTTTAGTCCTAAGTTTTGAATAGTAACTAGAGGTAATGGAGACAGTGGGTAGCATTTTTTTTTCTTTAAAAATAAAATCTAAGTTTGCACTTTTCTGTCATATTAGCCTGGCCAGCCCTTGGCGTGGTCCCAGGATCTAATCCCTTTTCAAAAAGGCTTGTGTTCTTCATGGGTATCTGCCAAAATGAATACTTCTCTGAAACTGTACAGCAGAAACTATTATAACGCACATAAGCCTCTAGAGCAGTGATGGTGAACCTTTTGAGCTCGGCGTGTCAGCATTTTGAAAAACCCTAACTTAACTCTGGTGCCGTGTCACATATAGAAATTTTTTTATCTTTGCAACCATAGTAAAACAAAGACTTATATTTTTGATATTTATTTTATATATTTAAATGCCATTTAACAAAGAAAAATCAACCAAAAGAGTTCGCGTGTCACCTCTGACAGGCGTGTCATAGGTTCACCATCACTGACCTAGAGCAACAGTTCTCAACCTGTGGGTCGCGACCATCGGAAAACACATATAGCATATCAGATATTTACATTACGATTCATAACAGTAGCAAAATTACAGTTATGAAGTAGCAACGAAAATAATTTTATGGTTGGGGGTCACCACAACATGAGGAACTGTATTAAAGGGTCGCGGCGTTAGGAAGGTTGAGAACCACTGCTCTAGAATCACCATGACTTGATGTTTATAAAAAAAATAATGTTTCTTACTTGGATAATCTCCTGTTTTGGAAAGCTTGAAGCTGTTTAGACATTAGATTTTTTTTTAAAAAACGTATGTGTGTGTTTTATCTAAAAACCATTGTATGGTTATTGCATCGTGAGGCCTCATCCAAAGGGACTCTTTCCTCAGGGAATGCCAGCTCCATTCCCCGCCAGCATGTATAACTGAGGCTGGGGAGCTGGAGATGGAGAAGGCATTTCAAATGACCTTTATCGTATTGTTCCGGTGTTGAAGATGCCCAAACCATAACAGCACTCCGCTCCCAATGCTACCGACGTTGCCCATCAATATTTCCTTGTCTGAGGATCACTGCCGAGGTTCACCAGTGCAAGGGACATAACCAGTGTCAGAAAGTAGGGAAGGTGCAGTTCTTGCCCTCACACTCCCACAGGCTGATGAAGGTTCTGGTCACCTGAGGAGCTGAGGCAAGGTCACTGTTGGAGAAGAGCAGCGAACTTTAGAGCAGAATGAAAAGTTCTGCCTGAATCACCAGGGTTACTAGGATTCTTCACTCAGTGTCACCTTGTCCAACCCGACACAGCTTCAGCCAGCAGGCCTGTGTTCCTACCGGCCTCTAAGCAGACCTTGCTCATGGCAGCCAGCAGGCCTGTGCACTTGTAGAACCTCACACTCACGCTCACAGCTCGCACATACTTACACACTCTCACTCTCGCCACACTCACTTTCAGCATGCTCCCCAAATCCTTTCCTTCCCACTGTCATTTTCAGGTCTCCTCCCCAAGGCCTCCCGCCTCTGAAGCCCCACCGCCTGCTCCCTTCCTACCATCTCATGTGCATTGGACTCCTTGCTCTGCATTTCAAGTCACTCGCAGGCTGCCTTGCACTGTGAACTGTCCTGTGGGTGCACATTTTTTCTCTCTAATTGTATTATATGTTCTTGGGAGGAACTTGTGTGTATCAAGTACACATAGGACAGAATTGGGTGCTTCAGGAAATCCTTACTGAATGAAATGGCTTCTTTAATCTGAAAGCGTTGCCAAGAAATATTACTGGATAGCCTATTAGGGTTATAAGCTGTTTAAAAATTTGATTTGCTAATGAGGGAGTATTTTGCTCTACATTTCTGTTTTCTAAGGCATCATTATCAATGAGAATTTTTTTAGAGGCAAGACTTATATTAGTAATTAGAGTATTTGTGTAATTCTGTTTTGATTCACAAATGAATACTGGAGAGATTATGCGATTCAAACTTAAAATATGTAATTATCTACAGAGAGTAGCAAAGTACGGAACCAGGAACTTGATGTGTAAATTTATATTTAATAGAACCTCAGAATATAAAGCTCATTCATGCTATTGTGGGGAAAGATTAACATCAATTTAGACAACCTCATATAATCCAAAAAATGTTCTTTATTAAATATCAACTCTGTATCCCCTTTTAGCTAAGCTGAAATATTGCCTTGAGTTTTATCTCCTCTCCTCACTCTCATCCCTGACTGGGGTCCTGACTATGAAAGACATAACTACACACACACACACACACACACACACACACACACAATAGGAGGAAGGCATGGAAAAGGACATGTCAGATAATGTAAAATACAAAAGTACAGGTTTATGCTGTAAATCATCAAAGTTGAAGTATACAAAAAAGAGTATGAAAATTCTTAATATGGAATCATACCTACCAGAGGTACTTAGCAGAGCGTGGAGGAACAAGGAATGAAGCTGCCACGCCCCTGGGGGTTGAAAGAGGAGCAACCATGAAGTTCTGAGCAGTTCTAATTGGCGGTTGTTACATCGATTTGGTACAATTCTGTCTGTAACCATTCACTCATTTACCCTAAAATAGTGGCAATATATGAAGATAACTAGAGGAGGAAGTGCCCCATTTCTTTTTTCTCTCAGTTCCATTCACAGGATTTTAGAACTCAAAAGTTGGATTTCTCAAATGAAGTGTATAGACTGTGTGACAATAATGTTTAAAATCTGTACTTAGGGAAAACACTGTGTGTTAACAGGTGGAAAAGTTTGGAAAGGCTTTGAACTACGCCGAAGCAGCCTTGTCATTCATTGAGTGTGGAAATGCAATGGAACAGGGCCCAATGGAATCCAAATCTCCATACACAATGTATTCAGAAACAGTGGAACTCATCAGGTAAGTGCTGTGTTTTCTCGCTGGGCGGGTGGGGTTGGGGAGTGAGGAATGTGTCTAAGTACTCTGAATACAGAGAAAAGATGTCAACCTGTAGTACCAGCTACTAAGAACCTTTGTTCATCTCCGAAAGTAAGGATGTAAGATTTTGCATGACACTTTCAGCATCCCCTGATTCCTTTGCCCTCATTATGATGAGGCAGGGCAGCTCCTATAACCCCTTACTGCTGTAGGAAGGAAGCTGAGTCTGGGTGAGATATGAATGCCCACTTCACCCAGCTAGGAAGTAGCAAATTTTTAACTCACTTCACTTCTATGCTGCTTTTTTTTAAATCTGATTCATGTTGGTGTAATCTCAATTCTAACTCCATCAATAATGATTCAGAAGTATTTAATGAAAGGAAAGCAGATTCAGGGGATTTTAGGGGAGGAAATGTATCCTATGATTTAATATCTCAGAGGTCCTGGTGTTGTCCTAGTGTTAAGACTTAGATGTGCGCATCATTCCCCAACCTGGGTTAAGGCATGGCATGTGAGCAGAACAGAGTTTCTGATGGGGGCACCTGAAGGGGTGGGTGGGAGACATTTCTTTTTCATGATGGAGACCTGGAAAGGCACATCCTCATCATCTCATTAATGGACCAATAAGGGCATTTCAGCCGTTAACCCTACTGAGAACCTTGGTCATATGATTTATGTTTTTAGCGAGTTCAGTTGATAATGAACTTTGGATAATGTCTAATACCCATTATATAAAATAATTCTTCCCAAAACTAACAGAAATAAAAATCTCACTGAATGGGCTCAGTAGTGCAGTGGCGATGACAGAGGATAGAGTCAATTAACAGAAAATAACATTTACCCAATCTAAGTAACAGAGAGAAAATAGACTGGAAAAAATGCATAGAGCCTCAAACACAATGACAGAAGATCCACATATGTATCATTGGAGTCCCAGAAGGAAAGGAAGACAGCAAGACTGATGAGTATTTGAAGAAGTAATAGCTGAAACTTGCCAATTTTGGCAAAAGATATAAACGTACAGGCTCAAGAAGCTGAGAAAAACCCAAATAGGATAAACCCCAAGAAATGCATATGAAGACACATCATAACTACATTTCTGAAAACTAAAAGCAAAGAAAAAGAAATCTTGAAGGCAACTAGAGAGAAATGACATGTTACTGTAGGGGAACACCAATTCAAATGACAGCTGACTTCGCATCTGAAACCGTGGAAGCCAAAAGAGAGTGGCACAACGTTTTTTAAGTGCTGAAAGGGAAAAAACCTATCAAACAGTGAATTCTAGATTCAGTGAAACTATTTTTCAGGAATGAAGAGGAAATAAATATATTATCTGACTAAGAAAAACCGAACATTGCAGATTAGCTAGAGGAAGTCCCTCAAACAGAAAGAAAATGGCAAATAAAAAGGAATCTTGGAGCATCATGAAAGAAGAAAGAACAGCTGAAGAAGATATGTGCAATAAACTATCTCATGAGTTTTATAAATCATACGTGTTGATTGAAACAAAAAGTATACCACTATCTGATACTCGAGACAATGTTATTTAAAAGTGGAGAAAGTAAAGACATACATAGAAGTAAGGCTTCCACACTTCGCCGAAAGTGGAGAATGTTGATATCAGTAAATTGTGATGTCTTATGTGTATATTGTAAAATCCACAGCAGCCACTGTGAAAACTATGCAAAGAGATACACATGAAAACACTACAAATCTGCATATTGTAGAGATGATATAATAATAGTATCGTTTCTTGAGCAATTTACAACAAGCTAGTTCATTATGTCAAGAGCTTTCCAAATACTATCTCAGTTAATTCTTACAACAGTCCTATGTCATTAGCAGTATTAGTTTTACATGGAGGCTTAAAGATATTAGTTTATCTACACTCTCACAACTAATAATTGTCTGCTGGGATTTGGACCCAGGACTCCCTGACCATTCCACATACTACTTCAGCTCTCTCAAAGAGTCTGCAAGTAACTTGGTATGTTTTTGGAGAGATGGCCAGAGTCCCAAGAAATAAATGTGATTAACTATTTCAGTTTATAAAAGCCACTAATTACACACCCAGGACACTTATACTACTGTCAAAGTAAATATTGTCACAATGAAAAGGAGGTAAGTCCAGGCATTTATCTGAGCATAGGAATGAACATTTTTTTCTGGAGATTGGCCCAGAATAATTGAACTTTGCCTCCATCTTGTCAGCCACTCAGCTGTAAATCAAAATTTGTAAAAATGGATGTGTCACCATATATGTGGAATGCTTAAACTGGCGTCACTCTTAACCATCTGTAGCATTTGAATTTGTATCATCAAAGAGCAGAAAGTAGCTAGATGGTTATAAAAATCATTTTGTCCTAGGCATCACAGTAATATAATGCTACGGGAAAACAAGGCGGCATCGGGTAGCTTTTCAGAAAGAATTATCTGCAAGCACTATGAAAATCTAAGTATTAGGCAGAGAGGATTTCCATCATAGAAGATGTTCTATTGTTAATAAGAAAGTTATTTTTTTAAAAATTTCTTTGGATGGGACCCAAGATGGCAATGGATAAGTGGAATCTACACTTACCCCTCCCAGGACCAAACTGGAGTTACATCTAAATTATAGAACAATCATCCTGAATAACCAACTGGAGACAAGCTGAAGAGGAGTCTTATAACCAAGGATTTACAGCAGCCACATCGAGACTGGCAGGAAGAGTGGACACGAAAAGGGCTGGCCCATTCCCATGGGTGGCATCTGAGATCCCAGAGGGATATCTCAGCTGCAGAGGTTCCTTCTGAGGAGCGTGGGGTCTCAACCCCACACCAGGCTCCCAGACCAGAGCATCAGAGCTGGGAACGGGCACCCTCATAACATTGGGCTATAAAAATCAGGGATTCTGTCCACCAGGGAGAGACAGAAGTCTGCTAGAGACACAGGTGCCCTCTTAAAGGGCCAGCACACGAAATCCTGTTCACAGCAACTCACCCTGGGCTCCGGCAGAGTGGACTTGAGTAGTGTGAGGAGAGACTGGGCTTTGTGGCTCTGGGGAGAGAGCTAAAGGGACAGCTGTCATGATCCCTGTGCTGAGTCCCTCTCCCACACCCTAGACGCCATCTTTCTTTTGGCAGAGCACTCCCCTCCTTATGACATGAACCTGGGTCAATGCAATAGCCCCACCCTCCGGAATCCCTGTCTCCCATCCTGTGGAGCTCACACCCTGCTGAGGACTCAAATGCCTTGACAAGAGTATAGATATCCAGGCAGATTCAGGGTGTCGGTGACTGAGTTGTGTGGCCCTGGAGTGGGGCCACTCCTCCCTCCTTCCCCCAAGCCTGACCAGCACTTCCTCACATGGGAGATCCACTAGTCCCACCTTCGCATCTCTCAGAAGCCCTACCCTGCTCAGCTCCTGGCAGAATCTGGGACATACTGAGTTGTGTGGCTCTAGGACAGGGTCCATTTTTCTTTCTTATGCCTGACCAGTGCAGAGCCCTCCCTTCACACGGCCAAACCGTGGTCAGTTTGGGCCTGATAAACCCTGCTGGCCTCACTCTGAAAATTTTCTAAGACCCTGCTTCACCACAAAGGTCTGTAGTTACCCAGCGGGTGGCAGCTAGACTTGGTATACCCTAGGACTTTTGCTGAGTGGCCTCAGACCCAGCACTGGTGCTATGATTGACCGTGTTATCCATCTAGTAAACACCATTCATACCTGGTGACTCACTGAGAAGCTACCTATTAAACTCAAGTACCATCAGAGGCTCTTTCAGTGACTGAGCCTGACAGGCTGCCAGCAGGTGGAGGCAGGCAAAGGTGGATATCAGGGTGCCTTGGGCCTTTTGCTGACTGAACACTGGACTCGGTGCTGGTGCAAGCCAGCCTTGGTGTACAGCTTGGTCCTTTGCACACATACCCAGGTACAGCAGAGGCATCCAGAAACTGTGGATCCCCATGTAGCTCCAAACAAGTTTCCCAGGATCAGTCATAGGCAGTGTCTCATATTGACCTGTACCAGTCCCTCCCAAGAGGCCCCAGAACCAACATACCCAATGGCCAGCTTCAGACAACATCAGAGCAGGATCCAGATAGCTTTACAAGTGGCATAGCCTAAGTGAGATCTCTGCGGGCACCAGACTCTGCTGAAGCAAATTCTACTTAGTGTGGTCAGCACCTGCACAGCAGCTAGTACACTGAGCCTCACAGTCAAACAGCCTGAGAGTCAAACCCACACAAAATGGGCCAATAGCAAACTCATGACTTAATTACAACAGGAGGGCTCACATAACCCACACAAAGGACATTCCTGGAACACCCAGCTCAGTTGATTAAGGAGACTGTGCCACTGGATCCCACAGGACACCTACTACATAATGCCAGCATACCAAGATTGGGAGACATAAGAGATATACCTAATACATAGAAAAAAATACAAATAGGCAGCCAAAATGGGATCAATCGGAACCCGAGGGCAGCTTTCTCTCCGAGGGGCTTGCAGCGATTACCAGGACACTGAGAAGCAGAGCCTCTGAGGGCAAGACTGAGAGCAGCCATAACTGCTAGCCCCGCCCTGTTGATCCCGTGGGACCTGCCCCGCCCAAGCCCTGCAGGGAGGCTTTTGCTGGATAGCCTCAGGCAAAGGCTAGATTAGCACCTCCCTAGAAATCCAGGAGCCAGGAAACCCAGAGGTCAGAGTGGGACCATCCAGTTTGCAGCTCCATGGAACCATAAACGACACACTCAGGGGGCAGACTCAGTGAGCACCAAAGCCCCATTGAAGCAAGTCTTGCCCCATAAGGGTGTCTCCAGCACAGAAGTTCTCCCACTGCAGACACAGCTGATTCTCACAACCAATTGGCCTGGAGGTCAATTCCTCCCAGTGATAACTACAACAATCAAGGCTTAACTACAACAAGACTGTGCACAAAGCCCACAAGGGGGTGCACCAAGAGTGTCCACCTCAGGTAATTGGGACACTTAGCACAGAAAG